CAAGAGGCAGTTATAGTAAAACACAAATGGAGCTGAGTTCCAGCAGGAGATTCCGTTCCTTGCTGTCAATTTTAGGGCATCTCTGCTGTAGTGTGAGCTGTGTGATGAACACCCTCACGTGCTCTGGGGAGAGCTCCACATGAGCTGGGTGTGTGACAGGCCAGCTCTCACTGGGCTTTGGGGGTTGCTGTGGGGAGGGTCTGGCATTCCCAGACAGAGCTGTCTGAGCTGTCTCTGCCTGTGTCTGCACCCCCCTGCCCTGCACACACACGGCAGAGCAGACATGGAGCCAATAAGGCAGGCTGGGAGTACCTGACAGCCGTGAGTGGGCAGGAGCGAACCAGTGGTGTGCATCCACTGGAAAATCTGATCCTGCTCTTCCCTCTGTGCTCAGAGTTGTCCGCCCCGATGTTTCTCTTTGCCTGAGCAACAAGCAGTGATCTTTGTGCAAAAAAAAAAAAACCCAAAAAACTTGGGGATGTGTTTTTTAGAGAGCAGAATTCTTCAAGCACCACGTCTCTGGAAGCCTGCGTGGCTGCTTCTCTTAAGCACCATATGGTGAAAAAAAAGAGGAAAAATGTTAATCTGCAGTGGTACTAGGGCTGAATTCCTGCTTTGCTTGGAGGCAGCATGTGTCCTTCAGCAGGGAGACAAACTGTACAGAGCAGGATCATCACTTCAGTTGGCGTGTGTTGAGCCATCTGTATGGTGGCGCTGGGTCTCGCAGGCTGGGAGACAATCAGAATAAAACATGTTCATTACTCTGGTAGATCATTCTAAAAGTATTGGACATGCAGTTCTTTGTAAACACTTTTGTGCTTGAGAAGTTGGGAGCAGCTGTCCCTCCTCTTTGCCTTACTCAGCTGTTCTGGCTGTCTCTCTCTTCCCTTCTGTCTTTGGGACTCAGCTCCTGCCTGTTACTTTGAGAATGGCTTGAGTGGGTCTGGGTGAGTGGGGATTGTACATAAACATGTGTTGTGAAGATACCACCTTCCCATACTGCATGGGAAGCCCTGCTTGATACTTCTTTGCCCCCCCCCCTTTCTTTACCTCCCCTTTCTTGGCCCCCCATAACTGTCTCATTACCAAGGTAAATTGTTCAGGCACACACTGCACAAAGCCAGGACACTGACACAGACCATTCCTGAGAGATGCAGAGAAGAGCTAAGGCAGATGGATCAAGTTGGATTTCCACTCTAAGCTTCAGTGATTCCCTGCCAGGACAGGGCAGGAGTTAAAGAGCAAACCCAGTTAAAGCTGTAAAGAGAAGTCCTTTTAGCTGAGTTTTCAACTCCTGCCCTATGAAGCACTTCCTCCCTTAATTCCTTGTGAAAGGTTCTGGGAAACACGAGCATAAAACAGAGCGTTGAGTTAAGTAAAATCTGAATATTGTGACATCTCTCCTGAGATAAATGACAGGAAAGAGACAGCTGACAACTAGGGCCTATTCAGGCAAGCTAAATTCTACCCAGCTCCCTTGTCAAGTGATTCCTCTTGTCTGGCTGCAGGCAGCTCCTCATGGAACATGCTCAGGTCCTTTGGCTGTTTCCAGGGGCCCCAAATTCTGCCTTGACCAGGCAGAGCAACTGGTGTGGGTCGAACGTGTTGCTGTGAAAGATGGCAAAGCTTCAGTGGGAGGTGTGGCTCTCCCTCCAGGGCAGGACGGGAAGGCTCACCATCCCGTATTTAAGGAATTTCCTCCTCCCAGGAAAGCTGGAGTGTGAAGCTGATGTGCATCAGTGGCCCATCAGACTCAACACAGAGGCTGGATGGGAGACACAGAGGTCTGGTGGGCTGAAAATAGATATATTTTATATATATATATGTATGAAATGGATATATAATATATCGTATGAAATAGATATATAATATATAGGTATAAAATAGATATATAGGTATGAAATAGATATATAATATATAGGTATGAAATAGATATATAGGTATGAAGTAGATATATAATATGTAGGTATAAAATAGATATATATCTGTACGTGTGTGTTTGTGTGTGTGTTTGCAATTAACTGGATTTACTTACTCGGTGACACTTAAGGTTTCCACAGCAGCATGCCTTGCCCTCGGGCTGTGTCACAAGCTGACTGTTAATATGTTCTTGCCTTTTTTTCTTATTTTTCCAGAGACCATTAATGACTTGACTTTTGGGGCTGGGGTCAGTTGCATCAGCTTGACGCACACACCCGATTCAGCTCCAGGCAAGTCATCTCTGGGATTCCAACTCGAGGGAAGTGGGGGGACAAAAAAAAAAAAAAGAAACACCAAATGATCAAATCTGTGGCATTTTTTAAAGTATGAAAATGTGTGTGTTCTTTGCAGAGAGCAAAGAGGATGAGGATAAGCCGACTGATATTATCTGTTTGACATCGCTGGAGAAACTGTGAGTTGGGCACAGAAATTGCAGGGGAGAGAGGCTGGAAATAAAGACTTGGAAATAAATGGTGGTTCTGCTTCCTTCTTCCAGCCCATCCCGGCCTCGGGAGTGGAAAGTGGAATCCCCAGCCAGGAGAAGGAGCAGCCAGCACGTCCCTCTGCGCCGCTCCCAGCGCAGAACCCCCCGGAAAGGAGACAACTGAGCCTTTCCCCGGGCCTGTGCACAGCATCAGCACGTGCCTGAAGCCTTCCCCGCTGCAATTATAAACTGGGAACACTTGTCCTTCCTTATCTATCTATTCTTAGCTGGCTTTTCCACAGAACTGCCCAGAATACGGGCAGACAAAGCCTGCATTAGCACATGTATGGATTGTAAGCTGCTGCTCCTGACACAGCCCACTGGAGGGCTGGAAAGCTGCAGCATAAAGGGGGGTTTGCTCTTCACTCTCAGGATGTATAATTTGTCCATTTGCAAAAGTGAGGGCACAGTGTTGCTGCAATAAAATGCACTTATCACAGCTTGCTGGGCAGTGAGTGGCTGGGCTTATTCACCCCATCCCTCACGGTCCCTCTTGGTTATATAATAGTTACTTTAATTTGATGAAAAGGTAAAACAGCTTGTCACTGCCACACCCCTAAATCTGGTAATTGCACGCTACATCACCTCTTATTTGTTGTGCAAACTCCTGTGTGTATGAACAGCCTTAATGTTCTTTTTCTATGGAATATTTCCATTCCTGAACTATGTTATTTCCAACTATTAGCATTTGATGAAAATAAATGGTTACAGAATTAATTCCGCCCACGCCGTCTCCCCTCTTGTTGAGCTGACAGAGAAATGATTTTTTTTTTTTTTCTATAGATTTCTACAGCCTCTTAAGTCTCTTCTACCACATCATTGGTATCTTGGGCCCTCAGTTCAATTAATAATGTTGGACCCAGCAGCTTTTAAATGAGACTGATTTATCTGCAAGCAGGGCATGACTCAAATCACGGTGGGTAAGTCAGAGCTGTGTGTCCTGTGCAGGTAACTTATAAATGTGCTCTGGAAAGGCTGGAATCTGACCATTCCCGAGTCTCCCTGATGCCACACTGAAGTTTTTCTGTGGTTACCTTCTATTGCAGAGCTCAAGCCCTGGATTTCACTGGAAGTTGAGACTGGGATCTGTTTTGTTCATGCTGGTTTGTCTTACTCAGGCTTTGCTGCACGAGTGGAAACGGGGGCACTTCCCTCCTGCCCTGGAATCCCATCATTTGCCCTCACCTTCCCTACTCTGTTTTGGAGATCAGAGAAACCTTCCAGTGAGGTTAAACTTTATTCCCAAAATCAGAGTCAAAACCTGGGACCAGAGGATGTATGGAATGGCCCTGGCTTAAGTGATGGTCAATTATGGCCACATCCATTCTTTCTATGCCTTTTCTCCTGCCTTAAATTATCATTTAACCACTCTGAGTGGTAAATTGGGATAGTTTATTTCCTACTTTGTGCTTCTGTTGTTTTTGTTCTGTCCTCAAGCAGTGTTTGAGATGTGCCCTGTGTGCATTAATGAGTCTTCTCTAGGGAAGAACCAGTAATACACAAATGTCCAAGAAAAAACTGATTAACAGCAACATACCTTGGACTTTGTCACCTTCATCCCAATACAAATAAGTGCGTGCTCTGACAGAAGAGACTTCCCCTTATTTCACTGAATTGAAAACAGAAACCTCCCATAATCTGGCTGTTTAAAAACCAAGCCCAAACCCAAACAAAAACCCCTACAAGAATGCTTTATAGCCTGGTATTTATGTAAAACATTCTTGGCAAAGTTAAACGTATTACATTAGTACAAACCTGAATATTATTCACAACAATACAATGAATTCCATCCATCAGCTCCCACGAGCTGTATGGGGAGGGGGACCACCTCCCCTTCTCTCGTTAGAGATGCCACTGTGCATTTTAGAACTGAAAATAATGGAAGTTTTGATTCTTAGCTTTGCTGGTTTTTCACAGGAAGGCTGCCTGGTGAGACTGTGGATTGTGCTCCCATAGTGCCCAGAGCTACCCTGATTCATCCCTTTCCTCTCTCCCCCTTATTACAGGTATCCTTGCAGCAGCACAGAGAAGGAGCAGTGGATATCCAGAGGGTGCAAAGGAATGTCAGAATGATTAGAGGCAGCAATCAGGACTGGCTGGCTTGGCTGAAGAGCTTGTCTTAAGAAGGTTACCAGAGTATAGTTGCAAAAGAGCAGTGGTAATGCCTGAATTACACAGAGAGCATCTGGTTATTGCTGCCCCATCCTTATTTTCACTTTCATCAGCAGAAGGACAAGTGGAAATGCTTTGTTTAGGCAAAACAAATGCAGCAATGGCATGTCCAGCGAGGGCCTTTAGGAAACAAAGCAGAGTAATGCAGAACACTAAAAAATAACACTGACAGTCCAAATCGTCAAGTATCCAAAATACTGTATACAGGAAAAGTTAAGACAACTCAATTTATATTGGAAATACAAGAACACTAAATTATGCTACATTAAAAAACTTCTTAAACCACAGCACAGTTCTAGTGTTGCATCCACATCTTGTATCACCCATTGCCATCTCACACCACCACCGTGGGTGTTTTCATGTGTTTCCAGCTATTCTCTCTCAAGCCAAAAGAACCAAATTAATTTATTTTTTTTTTTCTTTTACCACCTAGAGAAAAGTTTCATCTGACACCGAGAAAGTGCTTTTGTGTCGTGCTTTTGCCTTCCCAGCTCCAGAAACAGTGGCCTTGGCCGTGTAAGCTTTAAACCTGTCGGGTTGCTGTAGCTGTCACACCGTGTTAGTGCTTTAGGGAACTTGCAGAGGGGCAGCAAACATTGAAGTCACTCTGTCACCTCGTTGGAACTGAATCCAAAATAGCCATCCCTGGATATTTCTTGCAACAACAAAAACAAAGTGTTGGTCACTGGCAAGAGAAGTTTTCTATATAAAAAAAAAAAAGTTGACAGCTCCTGCCGAAAATTTACAAAAACTATCCCTGAGTGACTCTGTTCTGTGTCTGGTAAGACCTCTTGTGACAAGGAAATGGCTGAAGCTGGTTTAAGAGGAAAGAGATGCTGTTCCACCTGCAGCTTTTTAATACAGTTTGCACTAATACTGATATGCTCTGACAGTGCCATATTATAGCAACAGTTGAGCTCCTCTCTGTAGCTTCAACAGTAAAAAAATAGCTCCGTTACTTAAACACTGCTGGCATCACGTATTTACACTTTAAATAGAAATGTTACCTTTTTCTGAAGTAATCAAAATAGATCTTTGCAAAAAATTTAGAACGTGGGGTTCTACAAAAGAAACGGAGAAGGTAAAAAAAGCTGGAAGATATCTCAGTACCTTTTATGGCAATCTCAGCCTAGGAAAAGTATTTGGCTTTAATTTTCCTGAAAGGGATGTCTCAGCACTCGTTCTGTGCCTCCCCTCTAAGCCTCTTTCAGCACGGAAAGACTCAGGAGGCAAGTCTGCTTTGTGCAGATTAGATGGAGGGGTTACCTGCGTGCAATGAGTTCTCTACAAAGCAGGGAACAGAAGCAATCCTGGCCTGGTGGGTCATCATGTTAAATAACAAGAATTAAGTTTACACAGGGGCCGAGAACATTAGTGGTGTTCGCTGTTGGCTGTTCAGAGACACCCCCCCTGCTCCTGAGCAGTCAGAGTCGAGCACAGGACAATCTTTTACACACGAATGTGTAAAAGTCACCAGCCAGGCCTGGGCAATGAGCTGCTGGGAGGAAACCCCCCCCCTTGCATGGATAAATCTCGCTGTTTGAAGTCCATCTACTGCTGTATCAGCACCTTTTTTTTGTCTCCTAGTAACACGTACTAGCAATGTCTACTGCACGTTTACCTAATGCTGTCCCCCTGGGTGGTCTGCACATTGTGGCCGTGTCCCTGCAGCACAAATAGAAGGCAATGCCACAAACTTCCACAGCCCAGTCTCTTGGGAAGTATTAAAATGCTTCCTTAGTCCAAGGACAGGTTTAGGTGATCCTGTTGGTATCTCCAGAGGCAGGGGAGACGCGAGTTGGGCAGTGAGGAGTTACTTTAAACTTTGGCAAAGAAAAAAAAGATATACAGATAGCTAGCTATCGAGTTCTTGTGTGTTCCAAACTCTTCCAAGCGCACTTAATTAATCTTTTGCTCTTGCTTTGAGTTCCTGGAGGAGGTATTTTCACACTTTTGCTGGTTTTGCTGTATTCTTTTGGTGTCCTATATGACGAACGAAGACTTGTGTCTGAAGTCGCCCTGCAACGAAACAGTTTGGGGTGGAGGAAGGATTTAGGGGCTTTCCAGGTAACTTGTCATTCCTGCTGCCCCCAGAAATGTAGATCCAAAGTGTTTATAAATAAGAGTGCTTTTAGGGAGCCCCATCTTCCAGCTGGGAAGGAGAGGGAGGCACCAGTTGCACCAGTTGCAGGGAGGTGAGTTGCTGCCTCCTCCTCCTGTCCTCACACAGCAAGGCATGGCAGGGGACTTTCCCATTCCCTCATCAGTATCTCTGCTAATGGGAGAGGCTATTTCTGGTCTTAAGCTTTAGTGATCTGCTCAAATCCCAAAATACAAGTTCTCTCGTAAAAAGCATCATGTCCTGCCCACTTAATCCAATGAAACTCATCCCCAGGGGGTCAGGCCACGAGATAACTCAGAGCAGAGCTGCCTCTGATAGCTCCTGGCATCAGTCACTTCAAGCAACTTAAACTGTTCATCATTTCCAAGGAAATGACTCAGCCTTCACCCTTCTGTTTTCCCTGTGTTCTCCAGCCTTGTTTCGGAGTGGAGCCCACTCTGAGAAAGTCTGTGGGCCCCAAAAAAGCGAGCTGTCCCTCTGCCCACCCTCCTCCTCTCCTTTTAACAGAGAGATGTTAAATGCAAATCATTTGTTACCTCATCATCTGTCCGGATATAGTTAACGCCATCAGGTTTTGCTGGAGTCTTGTAGCTGAAATAAAGGGGGGGAAAAAAAAAATCTCATTTCTGCAACAGGAAGACTGCAGGATTTTGGAGGGGAGGTGCTGAGAAAGATGGAAATGAGGAGGAGCAGCTGAATGAAAAGCAAGCAGAGAGAAACCCAGTTTGTTTCTCAAATGAGGGGTCTGTGTTTATTCCATCATTTGCCATGACTGGGATTTTTTCTATTTCCCCTTCAGCACAGGGTAAAAAGATTGCTGCCTGTTTCCACAGGGCTCTGCAAAGAGATTAACTGGTTCTTTTCTGGGCTCTCCTGCTCTGGTCCCTGTCACCACCTTTCTGTGCCTCCTGCACTGTTTCCTGTGGCAATTATAAAGTTCATTTCAATCCTTCACTGCCAGATGCCTTCAGCATTTTTCTTAGTTATAAGGAAGCACCACTTGTTTGCAATCCCACAGGAATGCAGGATTTATATACGACTGTCAGGTCCGGTGGATGCCAACCCTCAGCTGCATTTAAATAGGGTATTTGGAGCTTTCTCTGAAAAACAAACCAAACCAGAGAGGGAAAAAAAAAAAAAAAGACAGGGCTTGTGCTGAAAAGCAACATTTAGCACAGAACAAATCTATCTGGTGAGAATCTTGGGTTTACATATATTATCTCTTCCACAGACTCTGTAAGGACATCGAGGCTTGTCTCTGATGCTGTTGCTGTTGTTTTTAACATTTTAATGTGTGCTGTAAAGTGGTTGTTTTTCACCCCAAATTTAGGTTCTCACAAGTAGTGAGATTTCCTGTGGAGAGCCTACTCTGCTGCATACATTCCCTATGCATGTCCTGATGCTTCCAACTAATTGTGCAGCGAGCGCTGATCATCAAACTGAAGACCTCGTTATGCCAGCAGCACATGATCTATTGGAAAAACACCTGTAGGCTTTTAATTGTGCTGGTCCCCCCCCCCTTCCCATGCAAATTATGAGGATATTAGAGCACAGCTTTCATCCTCTGGCTGGTGCTGGCAGCAAGCACAAGAGCAGCCACACCAAAATTCTCCCTGAAGTGAATACTGTCCATCCACGGAAGTGTTCAAGGGCAGGTTGGCTGGAGCTCTGAGCAACCTGGTGTAGTGGAAGGTGTCCCTGTCAATGACAGGATGTTGGAACTAGATGATTTTTAAGGTCCTTTCCAACCCAAACCATTCTGTGATGATTCTGTAAGATAAACCTGGGTGGTGCAGGGTTTACAGCAGGGAATGAGATGCCTCAAGGACTGGGTTGCCCTGTAGGCTTTGGTAGGGGATTGGGAAGATACATATCCAAGTCAGGCATTAAAATTCCAAGTTTTGGTGCCCTTCAGCCTCCTCCATGGTGGCTGTGGGTGCAGGGACCTGTCCAAGAACACCTGGGATCCCATCTTACCTTTCCCCGCTCTCTTTGCCGTTGGCAAAGTATCCCCTCCTGTAGGCACAGCAGATCCCAAAGGTGATGAGCACCAAAACTGCCAGGACCACCAGGACTCCCCCGATTATCCCACCGATATTGAGGTCATCTGGCAAAGAGAGAAGCCACCATCCAGTATTTCTTTAAGGCAGCAGTGACATTCTAGCTTTAAATACGCTAAAACGACACCTCTCAAATGTTTTAAGCAAACCCCAATAATTCACAGTGAATCCCTGGTTTCAAGACTAAATCTGTTCATGACCTCAAGAGTGTTTGAATGTTTCCCTGAATTCTTAGATTATTTTTCTTCCTCCTGTGTTTGGGGCTATGAGAAAGCAGGAAAGACTTAATGCTCTATGATGCCCCCCCTTCATTCCTTGTGGTGATGGCAATTTATTTATGGTGATGTATCAACCAGCACTGATGAAAACTGTACGTAGAGCCACTCACAGACTTCCATCTCCTGCTCCTCACACTTGGCAAAGCCAGCATCATTTGTTGCTATGCAGAAGTAACGTCCTGTGTCACCTTTGTGCACTGCGTGGAAAACCTGCCGAGGAGAAAAGGATAAAGGGAAGGGAGCAGGACATGAGAAACAAAGCACTGTGAGGGCATAAAAACCTATCTAAAAATGCATTTCCCCTAGGCTTCGTGGTGAGACATCTTCCCTCTTTCTAAACAGGTAAGTGGCATCAGCAGTGATCAAAATCAATGGACCAGGATGTCCTTCCATCAATCTTCCCTTTCCCACCCAGATCCTAGACCACCTCACCACCTTCAAATTATTCCTTCCTCGAAAGCCTCTTTTTCTTTTATAATCGACCTTAAAAATAAAGCCTTGATGAGGTCTGTAAGGGCATTACCAGAGTGCCTGTGGCGGGGTTCAGGGTGTAGGAGGAGTTGTGGGGTTTGGCTTTCATGTCGGGTGACAAAGGTTCGCTGTTGCGGTACCAGCTGTAAGTGGACTTGGGGAAACCTTCATTCTCGTGGCAGTGAAGAGAGGCTGACTTGCCAACAGGTACAGCTTTAGGCACAGTGCATCTGGGAGTCATGGGTTTCACTGTGGGGCGACACAAAGCAGGTGAATGGCACTGGGCTGAGCAGAACTAAGTCATTTCTGACCTACTTTCCATAACCGTGCTAAGAAAGCGTCAAAACTTTCTGTTATTTGCAGTTTGGACGCTGGAGAGACCCACGGCCCCTTCTGGTCCCCCTTGCAGAGGTGTCTGGGTTGGGTGTGGTACCTTGGACCGTGAGCTGGATGTTGATCTCGTCGATGCTTTTGGTGTCGGAGGGCGCTGCCACCTCGCAGCGGTACGTGGCCGTGTCCATCCGGGTGGTGTTCTTGATCACCAGGGATGTCCGGCTCAGGATCTCTGCCCGGGTCGCAAAGTCTCCTGATACACAGGAAAGAGAGAGGAAGAAACCAAGGGAAGTCACACAGGCTTGTTTTGGGCATATAAATTAGGAGGTTGAACTTTGACTCTGGAGTCAGGGGAACAACCCAAAAGGAACTTGATGCCTGAAAGGCCACAAAGGAAAGCAATGCTGCCAACCGTGGAAGAGGATGGACTGGAAAGCACCATTCCAAATCTCACAAAGAGTGGCAAAATCCAACTTCCAAGACAGCCTCAGGCCTTGTCTCCTTTGGAAGATTCATTTGTATGTGGCTGTTGGTCCCATCTAAAGTGCTGGAGTAATTCCAGATGGAGTCAGGCCCTACTGGCACTGGAGTTTTCCTGTCAAGCCAAGGAGTTTGCTTCTAATCTCATGCTCCCAGGGTGCTGCAGAGCCCTGTGCTGCCTCAGCAGTGGCACTGACAGCTCCACACACACATCCCTTCTGAAGGGCAGGTGGAGCCCTCGGATGGCACACGGAAAGACAGGAGGGGTCAGTGCCTGCCCCTGAGAGCTCAGACACCCAGTGACCACGCAGGGCCCAGCAGGCTCTGCACAAGGGAAGCTGCAGCATTTGCTTTCCTACCCAAGAAGTATCTTTTACCTTCTCCAGCTCTCTTGTGGCTCCCTACTGTGACCTGTCAATAATGAAGGCAGGGAGGAAAGAACATCCTGCTCCCTCTCCATCCTGCACTTTGACTGCTGGACTCTGTTCCAGAAGAAAGCAGCAAGACAGCCAGAGCTCCTGCCTTTCACAGCCTTGTTTGTTCTCCATTGTGCTGCTTCTGAGGCTGTTTTGGAAATCTAAGAGCAAAGAATCTTCGTACCCTGCATTTTATTGTCAAAAAACACGTAAGAGGTTTCTCCGTCTCGGATTTTCTTCCACTCGATCCTGGGATCTGGCGTCACAGTGGATTTAATGATGCAGGACAGCTCAACACCTAGCAGGAGAAATAATGGGAATACAGATTAATAGGAAGCAGCTGTATTTTTGCTCTGCTTTAGGCAGCCTCACTCGGTGTTTTATTAGGAGATGCTGCCCACAAAGCAGAGCCTTCCCTTTCATCTGACAAACAGAAACACTGCTGGGTTCCAGGAGCTATTGGGGAAGATGGATTTTGGCCAGCAAAAATAATAGTCAAGCAGCTATCAACTATGGAGAGGAATGAACACACTGTTCCCTGCAGGCTGTGACTTATGGCAAACAAGCCCTGATGACAGGATGAGCCCACAGCACTGTCCTGCTGCTGCTCTGAGCTGCAGCGTGAGTCAGGGAGGCACAATCTCCCTGGGCAGTGTCTGGTGATGCACTGAGACCATGAGTCCTGGGGATAAATCCAGAAAACACCCTCCCCTTTGAAGCTGGCACCGGCATCTCATCTGTACAGAACAGGGCACGAGAGGTGGCTTCCCAGAATCCCAGTGCAGGTTTAAGAGGACCAAGATAAAATATAAATCTCCCGACTCCCTCTTCAGTGTATTAATTGCAAGGCAACTGCTTTTCCTTCTTTTGGGATCCAGTTCAACAAAGCACTTAGGCAGACACTTGGCAATGCCAATGGCTCGCAGGGGGCCTCGATAAACCATTTTAAACAGGGTGAAACAAAGACATGTTCTTAGGCACTTCTCTGAATCCCAGGCTCTCGTGGTCCTGCCTCCCACAAGAAACCAAATGCCAATAAGGATTTTCCCCGATTCTTTGGCCTGGTGCAAATCCCCACAGGCAGCACAGCCACTCACTCTGGAATTCCTGCACCACGGGCTGGGTGTTGCTGGATATCAGCTCCACAGCCAAGAGTCTGCAGCCTGGAAAAACAAACAGAAGGTAATAAGAAATAGCACAGCTCATAAGTCACCCAGCTAGAAACACGCTGCCTGCTGAGAAATCATCTCTGAGGGCTGGCTTCCCCAGATAAAACCTTTTCCTGGCTACTAACTCTGCTCCAGCAGGACTAAGTTTATTTAGGAGTTGTGGTGTAAATACAGGAAAATATAATTGTTAGAAGTAGCAATTAAAGAGGAGGATTAACATAATGGCACAAAAGCAGTGACAGCATGAGCCATTTCCTTGTGCCTTGTGCTTATTTAGATGGTAAAAGAACTCTGATAATGCAGGAGTGAAAGTCTTTATTTTTGCAAATGAATTTGATGGTCAGGAAAAGGGAGGAAGCAGAGCAACCTCCAGAGGTCTGGTCAGTGCCTGGAAATGGAAAGTGCCAGGCCTGGCCCATAACACATGCTGATGACATCTGAAGGGTTTTAAGCCTGGTAATGTAAAATGTGAGGTAATAAATCATGAAAGGAGAAGACAGGAGTTCAACTGTGAGACTCTTTGTACCACCAGCTTGCTAGTTCCCTTCTTGCTCTGAGCACCAATGTGTTCCCAATTAATCCAGTCATTTTCCCTCCTTCATGTGTTATTTTGTTTTGAAAAATCTGCCTCCCATGTCCCTTCTGTTGTTCATTCCACCAGAGCAGGTACCAACAACACTCATATTCTACTGGATACCCAACTCACCAACAGCTCCCTGGAGGGAGAAGGAAACAAGCAGGGAGTGCCTGGCATGGCACAGGAGGAAGAAAGTGAACCAAACACCTTCATCACAGAGGATATTTTGGGTCTGGGTGTTCTGGCTGTTGCAAAGCCTCTCAGTCAGGCTCTGGTGTTCACAAATCACGCTGCTCCAAAGCCCTGTCTCATACAGGAGGAGGACACACACCTTAATTAGTGCCAAAATAATCAGCTGCAGGGGTCTGCCGTGGCCCCTCGTGCAGCTCTGCTGTGCCAAAGCCCATCAGAAGCTCGTGGAAAGCTAAGGGAGGATGGATGATGGATGCCCACTGACCTGGCTGAGCAGGTTAAAGATGATGGGAACTGGTGCCTCAGTGACACGAGATGCAGCTAAAGGTTTGGACTGTCTTAGGCAGAGTAAAACATCACAACAAGCATGAACAGAAAGCAGGAAAGGCAGCTGAAGGGAGACGTGGAGAAAGAAATGATCTTCAGCATCGTGACAAATAGGTGCAAATTCCTCTGCTGGCTTTCAGGGTAGGAAGCTTTTGGAGAGAGACCCTGACAATGCAGAGGGGAAACTCCTCTGGTGGAGTGGCTCAGCCTAAGAGAGCAAGGCAGCAGTCTGAGAAACACTCAAGAGCTGCACAGGCACTCCCACTGAAAGCTGGAGGGCCCTAAACACCTAAAATCCTTCCAGGAATTTTGAAATGTTCCCTGCTGATTCCTGTCCCTCATTGTTTGCTTTCCTCGGAGCCCTGGTGCTGATACCCCGAAGACCACCAGGGAGAGCTGAAGTTTGGCAAGGTTTAGGAGCTGCCTTTGTGTACAAAAATCATTGTTACTCACACAAAAGCCACTGGCTGATGCAAACTAATAGTTGGCCTGGCCAAAACTGCTCTTAGCAGGACCTTTCCACCCTTCCCTCTTCTGCACTGGAGACAGTCATGCAGCATTTGGGATTAATCCAATATTGAGCTAAGATGACAGTGCTCTGGACTGTGGCCTGGACTTTAATGTAGATATTTGGGAGAAGTCTCTGTTCATCACAGAATCATGGAATTGTTAGGGTTGGAAGGGACCTTAGAGCTCATCTCATTCCACCCCCTGCCATGGGCAGGGACACCTCCCACTAGCCCAGGTTGCTCCAAGCCCTGTCCAACCTGGCCTTGGACACTTTCAGGGATGGGGCAGCCACAGTTTTCCCTGGGCAACCTGTGCCAGGGCCTCCCCACCCTCACAGGGAAGAATTCCTTCCCAACATCCCATCTAAACCTGTTCTCTCTCAGTTTGAATCCATTCCCCCTTGTCCTGTCACTACATGCTCTTGTAAGAAGCCCTTTGATCCTCTCAGGTGTTCTGTCTGTGATCCTTGCTTTGCTCCCTGGAGAGCATGGACAGATTTCACTGATCCCAGCAAACCCCCAGAGCACTGGGAGTACTTAGTCCCAGAAGACAAGACTTTTGGGAAAACCCTTTTGAAATCATTGGGCATATTTTCAACAACAATGTAGGGATCTTCATACAGACAAGGCATTTGGTGGCCTCTGCTGTTCCTGCTTCTGGAACCAAGGGAGAATTAATGGAGAGCCCAGCTCTGAGCACTGAGCTGGTCTGAGGAGATGCTGGTTGGCCTCCTGCTCAGGACAGGTGGCTCTAATAAGGAATTTGGCTCAGCTTTCAAAAAGGGGGAAGCTGTGGGCTCTGCTTCCTTCAGAGACAGCACCATCAGGGAACTGAGTTACTGAAACAACTCCCAAGTGATGGGACCCTTCCAAAATCTGCAGAGCACCTGAAGAGCCACAGAAGGCACCTTCCACAGCATCTACCTGGTCAGTGCTACCCTATATATCTTCCTCTTGGAAAAACTAGAGAAAGAAGGAGAGGGAAAGGGTTCCTCGTTCCTTAAAGGAAACTTGTACCAGTTTGGGTTTTGTTATGGATTCTTGCTTACACAACATAATTTTTCAGAAAAATGGTGCCCCATCAAAGAGACATCATGATAACAGTCCTGCTGAGGTACATCTGCTGCAGCTACAATATCAGCTCAGTTGTAGGAGGGGATGGTAAAACCACAGTGTTGTGCTGCTCTGAGGGAGTTATGACTCCACAAATGTTCACTCCAAGACAGTGGGACTCCATCAGCTCCAGCCCCATCTCACTGCTCAGAAATTGTTCACAGCAGGCTTTTTCTCACCCACTAAACACAAGAGATTCAGGTCTATCCCTCAGGCACGAAGCAGGATGACAACAAATTTTAAGGCAGAAGCTGAGTCCTTGGAGACTGTGTGAGAGGCTCTGACATTATTACGTGTATTGACCGTGGGCAGAGATCAATGTGGCTGCTTAAATCACTGCTAAGACAGATTTATTCTCCTCTCTGTGGCAGAATGCTGCAAGTAGCATGTTCTAAATTACAAGAAGGCGACAGCAAACCAAAACACAAACCTCAAGTGACCATACAGACTGCAGAGCAGGGGCAGAGTGCCTTAATAGCTCTTCTTAGCATTACTTTTGGGTATGCCTTGTTCTCCAGTCTCCTTGGAGCTGCAGGAATCTTCACCAAGCCAGTGCTCCCCAGATGGCTGTAAATCAGTGCCGGGGTGATCCCTGCTCTGTCCCATTTCCCTGCTGTGGGCAAGGGTTGTCCCTTCGGTGACCACACTTAAGGGTTGCTTTGTTTTGAGTGTTAAATCATCTTTAGTGCTTAAGCCACCTTTTGAAAGGAGTGTTCCAAAGGTGTTCCTTTAGGCCTCTTTTAGCCCAGTGCAAATAAGCAGCAAGGGTTTGGTGTTATGTAAATCTCACTTCAAAGGCACCCAGGGTTTGGAGAACAGCAGGAATAGCCATGAATTCCAGTTCCAGAGCAGCATATGTGCCACAGCAGAGGCACCTACCAGGTCTGTATGTTCTACCCCCCGGAATTCCCCCAAGATCCGTATGTTCGATATCCCTGAATTCCTACCAGATCTGTATGTGC